GACCAGGGGCACCTTGTCTCAATTCAACATTTGGAGCATGGCAATTTTTCCTGCCATGCCTCGGCAGATCCATTTAAAATTCATATTGACATTACACATGGTGAGGTTACATTTATTTAGTCCTAAATCACAATCAAACTTCAAACATGCATCATACATAATATTTTACACATCAATTTGTTTCACAATCTGATTTAAAATGGCCGACTGGTGGCCATTTTGTTGTAATTAATGCTGTTCCAGAGCAATGTTTCTCAATATGGACAAGTACTTGTTTGACGATTAGATGCAAGATGTCAATCATTTTATTTTTTGCAAAATCATCATAATCAAGCGTCGTCTACTTGACTGAATCAACCCTAGACAGTGAAGTATTAATTAAATCAAATCATGTTTGATGGTTTGATACAAACTATTCAACTGGTTGCCACACTGCTGGTTTTATTTGTACAGATCCACGCAATGACAGTTCTAATATGCAACAGTCAGTCAATAAAAATTCCCCTCGTATTAAATATCCAATTTGTGTAATTATCCAATTTTTGACTCCCATGTGCGAAGCACATAATGGGAGTCTTTGCAGTTAGTGTGTCTGCATGTATGCATGTCAGACTGTTCCACTACTATCTCAAGAACCACTCATTGAATTTTGATGAAAATTGATACATGGATGCTCTGAACATATGCGCAGATTTGATTAGTTTTTGGTAATAATCCGTGGATACTAATTACCTAATTTGCATAATGATTAGTCAATTTTGGGTTTTTCCACTGATATCTCAAGTACTAATCATCACATTTCAATGAAACTTGGTACATAGATGTCATATGACACTGCACAGACCTGATAGTTTTTATGGTAATATCAGTACATACAATTACCTAATGTGCATAATTAATTAATTTTCAGCTTTTGATACAAGTAGTGAGCATTGAATTTCAATGAAACTTGGTACTATGCAGAGATTGTTTTGGATAAATAATTGTGCATATTAATTACCTAATTTGCATAATTAATTTTCAGCTTTTTTACTGATATCTAAAATACTAATCATCACATTTCAATGAATCTAGAATTATGCAGAGACCCAATTAGTTTTCGGTAAATATTTGTGCATATTAATCACCTAATTTGCATAATTAACCAATTTCCAACTTTCACACTGATATCTCGGGTACTAATCATCACATATCAATGAATGTTTGTACATGGATGCTGCAGGACAATAGACAGACCTCGATAATTGTTGGTTAAAATCTGTACATATTAATTACCTAATTTGCATAATTAACCAATTTTAAGCTTTCACACTGATATCTAAAGTACTAATTATTCCATTTCAATGAAACTTAGTACAAAGATGCTCTAGGACAATGTACAAACCTAAATAGTTTGGGGTAAAAATCTGTTCATATTAATTCCCTAATTAGCGTAATAATTGATAATTTTTTGGTTCTAATCTCATTTCAATTAAACTTGGTACATAGATTTTCTGTTACATTGCGCAAACCTCATTAGTTTTACACTAAAATCTGTTTATATTAATTTTCTGATTTGCATAATTAGTTTTCAGCCAAGTAATTTCGAATTATATTTAATGTGTTACAATACTCTCAGCACATGGGAGTTCTTTCTAAGCTTTCTTTGATTAGCCTTTCTGTTGCCCTCTGGAACTACTTTAATAGATTTCACTGAAACTTAATATACAGACGTGGTCTGGGATTATTTGTATTTTGCAATATGAATAACGAATTTTCTGCTGTTCCACTGATGTACCCTCAGCACACAGGATTGTGTAGGCTGTTAAGGTTGGTTTAGCAGCACTGGTCATTTAAATGTATTTGGTTTTTTTAAAGTGCACATTTGCAACCCAAAATGTGCATGGTAGAAATTCAAAAACAGATTTTTCATTTGTCAGATGAAAACTGGTAATTGAATGCGTTTATCCATACGTATATGCCTCTATCTTGAACACTAGTGTTAAAATTTCATTCATATATCTTGGGATACATGTGCTACATTAGTTTGTGATCAGATTTGAGATGGCCATTCGGTGGCAATTTTTCAAAATTAAAAATGCATTTAATTTAAACATTTATTTGAACCAGATCTTCCCATTGATTCTCTCAATCGGAGCAGCATGCATAGCAACCATTTATTTGTTTTAGTGAATGCTTTTGCATAGCCAAATTTAACATGTCTGCACCAATCGTATTCATACATCACGTTTCATGATCGGGTCTTCATCCACAATAGCTGACTGGTTTCAGTTTGGTTTGCTGTTGCACAACTGGGACTCTAGTGTTGATGAGTTGTTTGGCAAGATTTTTAATTTCAGATATTCACTCTAGTTTATGTTTCAATGCAATGTACATACATGTAGTACTACAAAATGAAACTCTATACACACAAAGTGAAAAGTAGGGCAATTTTACAGATGAGTGGGCGCTGTAGTTTTTAAATTGGTATCAGATTTTGAAAGTCTCACAAATTGAATTTTTACAAACAACTTCTAGGACTGAACAAATTTGTGGCAAACATTGCATGCAGAGCCGAAGTAGAATTATTCCCACTCTTAGTAGATATTCAGATCAATTTAATAAAATACTGGACTCGTATCAGTAAATTACCAGACAATAATATCACAAAACAAGCATACCTTGAACAAAAGAAATCCAATTTACAATGGTACTCTTAAATACAAAAAATGATGAACAGAATGATTTGTTAACAAAACATATACAGAAAATTGGCAAAGTTGTCAAACAAAAATACATAAATTTCTGGAGAAAAAATATAACTGAAAAAACAAAGCTGAGAACTTATGAAAAATTCAAAGACTTTTATAATTTTGAAAAATACTTAGATGTGCTAAATTTGAAACAAAGAATTTCAATGACAAAATTTCGAACTAGTAATCACAATTTAGCAATAGAAAAAGGGAGACGTATGCAACCAAAAATACCTACTGAAAATAGAATTTGTAAACACAGAATGAAATAGAAGATGAACTGCACTTTGTTATGAAATGTCCACAATATAAAGTAATACGCCAACAAATCATACAAAACATTATATTTCCACAAGAAACCCAGGATGATCTCCAGAAATTTAATTTCTTGATGACTTCAAAAGATGATGTAATAATAAAAAAGATTGGCAACTATATTCATTATGCATTTCAATCAAGAAATAAAAATGCCATTTGATATGTAACACTTGCTTTATCTTTTTTTTAACAACTAACTTTCTTTTTGTAGTAGTAGTTATCACAACTAATCTTTATTGCTATTAACTGATAGAAACATTGTATTTCTAAGGATGCAATAAAGTTATTATTATTATTGAGTCGATACAACCACATTGCTATTGACTGCTCGCAATCAATCAGCTCACCACTTCAAAAATTTCACTAAAATCAAACTCTCAAATAGGTTGGTTTATCTGGTATCATAGCCAAATAATTTACAAAATAGGATATTACATTTTTGTGTTATCTACTTGACATTGTTCCTCAAAACGTATACTTAAACTGTTTTAATGTAAAATATTCTATTTATTAGGTTTTATTGACTTTGTTGATCCTTCGGAAGACCTTGTTTTAGTGCATTCTAATGGTGTCGTGACAGGTGACAACACTTTTTATGCTAACATCACAATAGATGAAGACTTAGTGGTGGTAGGATTTGTTGATGGAGTTAATGTCACCCATCTTAACAACAAATATGCAAGTTTGTCTCGACCTCAGGAAATCACTGGAGCAATCACTTTTCAAAACAACGTCACTGTTGTAGGTAAGTAACAAACTCATTGTATATAGATTAGTAGTATAGCTTACTTCATTAGTAATGTTTGAGCTTAAGACTTATTTTGACCATAGACGTCTCATTCCTATCTTATTTTTAGTCAGCCTTGTGGATTGACCTGTGTCCGTCTGAACCTGTATCTTGGACATGCCAGGACCAATTACATTTAAACTTCATACATGTATCATGCATAATATTATACATATGCACATCAATTTGTTTCGCCATCTGATTCGAGATATCTGAATGACGGCCGTTTTTGTGCTGAAAAATCATCAAAATCAAGTTTCTCTGCTGTTTACAGAGATTTTGTTTGAACTTAGTATTTTCATTAGACACAGGACCTTGATGCAAATAATTTTATTTTTCAGACAAGTTTTAAAATGGCTGACTGTTTTAATGTATGCAGTTTTAGAGCTATATATGAGATTCTTCGTTTGATTATGTTAAATTTTATATTCATTATACATCATGTCATAGATATACACATATATTCAAAATGGCCAAAGGCTGGCCATGTCTCTCAATGTGGACAAGTACTCATTTGAGAATTGGATACAGAATGACAATCTCAACCTAAAATTTAATTTGAATTTTAATGTTGAAAAATCATCAGCTTCTGGATCCATACCTGACATGTTTATGCTGCAACTAGATTACCATAAACTATATCTTAACTTTAATGACTGCCATACATACTTTGTTTATTTCATTTGGCCTTATCTAACTTGTTTGCATAAATTCATAATTCCTACAGATGACATTAATATTAATGGTACACTAAATGGAGTTGATATTGACGACATAGTTTTAATAAATGGTGACCAAACTATCGTGGGAAACAAGACATTCAGTGATGGTGTTGTGATTGTTGGTGATCTAGTTACTGATGAGATCAATGGACTAAACTTACAATGGCTACATGATAACATGGTTAGACAATTTTGTGATCACAATGTTACGGGTGAAAAGGTAATTTTTACTAAATCAACAGTTCTCGTGATTTTAAATTCCATTGTTGGAGGGGGAAAAAAAGTCCCAAGTGATGTTAACATTTGCTAAAAATGCAAAGGCTCATGGGTAGACGCTTGTTTGTAAACAGTGACACGCTATGGCCATCTGATTTGTGCGCAGGTGACGACTTTGCCGCTTTAATACAAATGATATAAATGTAACCCTTTAACGGCATGTACCCTGTGGTGACGGTTGTACTTACAACTTGCATGTCGCTATCGTTTAAATTTCACATGAATAATAATTTTATAGGTATTCCAAAATGATGTGTACATTATGAATGATATGGTGGTACTGGGTTTGATAAATGGAGTCATTGATATACCAGAATTACACAACGATGGTTTGAAAGTATTTCAGGACAGTACACGGATGTTGACACATGTAAATGAAACTATACGTGGCCAATGTGAGCTGGTATTCAATTTATCCCAAGCAACTGCTGGTAAGTAACAATAAATCTGGTACCCCCACCCCCACCACCTCTCTCCACCATGTGTATTCTTGCACCATACTGCTACCAACATGGAGATCGAAAGTTAACTTGATTTTGTTTCTTTGCTCCTGAAGAGAACAAAGGCAGGAGACTTGTGTTGTAGTGATGTATGAAAGTTATAATTTGTAACTATAAACCACTGAATGAATTGGTGTGCAATTTGGTACAAAGCAACATGTTGGTACAAATCTGTGAATAATTTGCATACTAATTAGCTTCTCTTTAACAGGTTGTTATAAAATACCCTACTAGTTTGTTCAAATGTATTCAAACTTCTTGTGATGTTGAATATCTAACGCTACTTTGAATTAAATTTGCATATTAACTGAATAAATCAAAATCTCTAAAGCAGTATTAACATTTTACCATTTAATCTTTTCACCAACTTTTTACAAAACATTTAAAAAAAGTCCTCTTTATAGTCTGCACTTTCTGCACAAGATTGCAACAAAAATGGCTCTAAAATTAGGGTTCGTTTTCAGAAATATTAAAGAATACAAATTTGAGTGAGGTATGGTAAAGATTATCACAAAAAACTCAATTTACAGGGAAAAATTCTCTAGTATTGTGTAGTTTTTGCATCTTGTAATTCCACCACTAATCACGCACGTGTGCATACTTGAAGCTTGGACATGCCTAGGCCAATTTTACATAGGTAATTACTTTCTTCTGCAATTATATGAAATTGGTGCTTTTCCTTGGGATGTCTGGTGGTGATCTCTTAAGAGATCACTTTGAAAACTTGCCAAGAGGGACTGTTTATTTTGAATTGAGGGTCTTCCCTTGTAGACATCAGTTTTGGGTGGGGGTTTATCATCTAAACAGGGCTTTGTGGTGTTTTGAGGTTACAAGCTGAGCATGGCCTAAAGCCTGTACTTAACTATAAATCTTTATTTTTGTGCAGGGCAAGGTATGAGTTTCAGTCACTTTGAAGACTTCCAGGATTTATATACTATCAGTGCCGCACAGTTCAACAGCGTTCAGTACGACAGTGGTGTTGTCTTGTTTCTAACAGAGTCTAACTTTCCATTTGTTCCACGATGCACAGAAGGACATTTATACATGTGCCCTCAAGAGGACACTATCTGCTGGGAAATTCAGAACCAAAAATTCCCATCTACTTCAAGTGTCAAGGGTTATAATATTGGAGAAAGAACTTTTGTTGTTCTCACCCACAGTGAAGAGATGATTAGTAATACTTGTGTAATTAAACAAAATGACATGGTGACTAGAGTGCTGGACTTTGATGATGCTTCCTTTGACCAGAATCTAACTACTAGTGGTTCTGTTGACTCGGTTATGTTTTCAATTGATGGAGAGATTTACTTAGTAGTTGCCAATGGTCACAACAACTCGTTAGGTAAGATTTATTCCTCTTATGTATATTTAAAGCAAGCCAGTTCACTGAACTTCAATATTTTTTAACTCGCAAGTGTTGATCAGGCTTGTACATGTACACTGAAGCTCCTAACATGACAATGTTACAGCATGGTCATGTTAGGAGCTTAGAGCCCTATTACCATTCAGAGTTCCATCCCATCCCACCTCTTCCCTGGCGCATATTTGTTTATAAGAGGAAGTAGTTCAATACAATTTTTATTTAAAACTAGTTTTCTACTATGACTAATATTAACCGTTGATATTTTGAGTCGTCATGTTTGGCAGAAATATTTGTTGAATTTTAAAAACTTCACACGTCATTTGCCGAAAGCTAACTTTGTTTTAAGATCTGACATTTGTGTATCGTACAAGTTTATTGTGACATGATGCATATCATTGGCAATTGTGAGTCTATTAAACCAAATGAAAACTGTACATGCAGTATACTTTGGTTGTCCCCCTGTAGTTCAGTTTGCAGCTTTACTTTGTTTTTTTTTACCAGTAATCTCCAACAGCGACTCGGATGTATTCAAGTACAACGAGGGCATCAATGCCTTTGAGGAATATCAACAACTTCCAACATATGGAGTGAAAGCTGTAACTTTCATTGACATCAATGGAGTTTACTTCTTGGCATTTGCTAATTCATACGATAGTGAGCAAGCAACTGAGGAAGTTGATGCCACTGTGCATGCATGGAATCCTTCTAAAAAACGGGTAGGCGACGAGTCTTAAATAATCTTGACACTTTTGTTGACTATTGGCGAAACGATTTTAGTATTGAAAAATTTGCTATAATATTAATATACTGTTAAATAATTTTAGCTGGAATTAATTTTCGCTGAAAAGACTTTTTTGGTGTTTTATATTTAATTTTTTTTTTTTGACAAGTTTGAATGTAAAATATAAGGGTTTTTTTTAATTTTCACTAATTCATTCCCTCAGCAAAAATTAATTTCAAGCAAAAAGTGTTTTACAGTACTAATTGATACTGTTTTTACCTCGGCTGTCAACTTGAAAGCTTGATTGCTTTGATACGTGTATCCTGGGTAGATTGATTGATTTATTTGATTTGATTTATTGCGTGATATCTTAAATTCTCAAATTGTTATTTTTGTTAAAAAGTGATAATTTTGACTTTAAAAATTCTGATTGCTTCAATATTATACATACAAGTACCTCAGGTGGTCCTCTCAAATTTGTTCATTTTCTAATATCTTCAATTCTCTAATTGAAATGCAAGTTGCTATCTCGGCTGGGAGACTGCAAGTTTTAAATAAGGTTAGGCTCAAAGCTTTGCATGTTTAGATGTGCATTTTTTATTGACCTTGCAGAAGCGCTTCACTGCCAGTGTGCAGTTTGTTTGAATGATGCATTGTGTAGCCTTTTACTGAATAGACCAACAATTGCTTATGGTGTAACAGTATTTGCGTTGTACATTCTCAGATTATATTCATATCAACGGTGGGAGGGCTTAGTTTGGCTTGAAAAATGCATTTAAAAACCAAACAGTTGTCATGGTTACTGTGGCGGTGTTTTAAAATAGCTTTGTAACTTTTCTTTAGTTTGAAGCAGCTGAATCTATTGTAGATGGATATGTGACTGTTGCTGCCAGCGATGTCATTAATTTCAGCATAGATGATGAGGTATACGTTGCTTATGCAAGTAAAAACATCCATAGTGGTAATGGTGGTGATATCAATATCTTTAAATATGAATCCACTGGGTTCAAACACCAACAACGAATAGAACTAACTAATATTGTTGATTTAGAATTCTTTGAGGTGTCCGGTAAGTTTGTATTTATCATAGTCTTCATTCTTGTTGTTTTTTTAATAGAAACTATCTGGTTGTATTTTTTAGAAACTAGTAATTACACAAAAGATACTGCATTTGGTTCCTTTTTACCTTACAATAAACTATTCGCTACAGATAACTTCAGCAGAATTCTATAAAAGTTTTTTTTTTTCACTTTATACAGGCATGTCATTCATTCTGGCAGTGGACAGTACTTATCATATTCATATACAACAATGGGCAGCAGCCAGTAACTTTGTGCACATGCTTTCTTGGAAGTACACTGGTATACGATCTGTACATGCCTTCAAACGAGGTGATGCATTGTATATAGCAGCAGCTGTACATGTTGACCAAAGTGACCAGTCAATGTCAAAGATAATGAAGGCAGTTGTTAAAGGTTTGTCTGGTTTCCTACTGCAATTTACGAATGCGTGGGCTATATACTTAAACATAATTAGCGAGGGTTTTTATGCAATAACAGTATTGCTGAATTTAATTTAGATGAAGAGTGCAGTATAACTGCATTCAAATAGATGGTGTTGTCTTTTATGCGAAAGTTTTTATTCTACCTAGAAAAAGTGAAAACATAGTTCTCTTTACATATTTTTTTGAGATTCATCAATTGCATGATTCCTGTTCAATGAATTTGATAAATGCTTTCAAATATATGCATTAAAGGTTTGGATTGACAAAACCTTGTCTGAAACGAGTAGTTCCCCAATTCTACCTACCACCTATTTTACTTTTGGCCAAAACTCAAGAAAAAAGGCAAACCTACATGAAAAGCAGAACTTATTTTTTTTACTTTATTACCTTGTAACAAATTGCATTTTTAATATGTAATGAACATTTGAATTCCTGCAGTTTTTTAGTCTAGATATGTTCAAAATAAAGTCACTAGTGAAAGTTATCAAAATGCTGAATACTTGTGCTGTTCACAGAATCTGAAATGCATTGAATAATCAGTCAAACTTTACAACTACTACATTTATGCGTAATGTCATGTTTCGTGTACTGATTGTAAATGCCAGATGCTTTTTTTTAGCAGTTTTTACTATTGACTTGTTTTTATTTATTTCCTTGCAGGTGACCGATCCATGCTGGAATTTGAAATCCAAAATTAATCACCTAGAGTTTTCAATATTGTATAAATTATATTTATATATAGTCAAAATTTATTTATGGTGTAATGTTGTATGTAATAAATTGAACTCCAGCTAAATTCTTGTTAATGTTTGGTGTACTTGTCTTAGAAGCTACCACAGTGGGGGTGGGAGGTGGCTAATAAGACTGAGGATAAAATTGCTGCCAGTCAGCTTTTTAGCTCCGCTGTAGACTTTGTCGAGCATTGACACGGACACTCACTCATATAAGTCATGAGTGAGTGTCCGTCATCCGTGTCAATGTTTTACTTTATCGACTTCTTGAAAACTACAAGCCTGAATGCTTTGATACTTGGTGTATATGTACCTTGGGTAGACCTCTCTCAGATTTGTTCATTTCATGATCATATCTTCAATTCTCTAATTTTGGTGAATATTTTTGGTAAAAAGTGATATGTTCGACTTTTTGTGAAAAACCGCAAGTCCAATTGCTTTGATATTGCATGTACTACATGTACTACATGTACTATATGTACTACATAGGTACTACATGTGGACATCTCTCAGATTTGTTCATTTCATGATATCTTTAATTCTTTAATTTTGATGAATATTTTTGTCATTTTTGGTAAAAAGTGATATTTTCTTGTTAAAACCCACAATCATCTATGGTCAAAAATGATATTTTTGAATTCTTGTTGAAAACGGCAAGTCCCATTGCATTGATACTATACATATTGTTCATTTTCTAATGATATCTTCTGTTCTTTAATTGAAATGTGCATTGTTAACAGCGGAGCTATCTCCTGTACCATGTTCGGTCCAAATTAGTGGTGTCAAAACAGGAATTGATTGAAAAACCTGTCAACGAATCTCTCCAACTGGCAATCCCAACACCTCAAAGAGCAATGCTGCTAGCACTACAACTGAGATGCAAGCTCACAAATGTAATTGTGCAAAAATTTCTTTTCATAGTATGAAAATAGTTTCTATCATTTTAAATAGGATGGCAAGACTCGTTAATTAAATCTGTGAAAGTAAGTATCATTGCCTCTGTAATCAAATTAAAACAAGTATTTGCAACATACAAAATATTGACTAATTGGGAACAAATCCCGGAAAATAATGAATATGTAGCTTGCACATGTTTTTTTTTAACTCTTGGTTTCATGAAGACTCAAATCTTGTTTGTTTTTTTTTGGGCCTTGATAAAACATTTGGCCCAAATAGATTTAAATTATAAAAATGCTTTTATTGGCTGTAGAAATGGTTTGGTAATGCCCATTATACCCACGAGTCTTTGTGTAGAGTTTCTTTGATCCATTGGCAGATTACCTCATAAAATTTACTAATTTTAGAGGACAATACTTTCAATTAGTTGTCCGGACAAACTAATTGAAAGTATTGTCCTCTGACGGTTAAATGTTGAACTGAAAAAGTGAAGTTCATATGACTACCTCGTATGAACTTGACTTTTCAGTTGCTTTAGCATGGATTTGAAATTTATAAATTTTATATAAAACAAAACTTGTTCTGGAAACCTGGTGCGGGCATGCATGCTTTCTTCAGGACCTCTTATCTATATCTTGGACATGCCTGGAATGATTACATTTAAACTGTACACATGAATCTAATTCAAGATTAACCAATTGCAGCCATTTTGGGGCATTTACAGAGGGATTTTGTTCGAACTTGGTGCATGCATTGAATACTAGGACCATCCATGGTGTACTTTGCATGGCTTGATCAAATTACTTGCTTAGCTTGGAAGGCATTTTAATCTTTTTGAGTATTTTGTAGACTCCTGACAGTTCCCAAGTGTCAAATGCAACCATTGGACCAATTTCCTTCCAAATTCACATAAACTACAATGTAGCAGTTTGGATTGCTGTAGAATCAAGCAGTCGGTCTTAAAAGTGACAATTTAAAAATATTCAGACTAGATAGTTGCATAATTGCAGAGTCAACAGTGTTCTTGCTGTATCCTGAACTTCTGAAGACCAAATTACTCTGCACTGCACTATGGCATTTCAGGATCAAAATGTAGTTTCAGCATGGCATGTAGTTTTGCACATGGAGCTGGCTGCCATTTGTAGTTTCGATTAGTATAATTATATATTTGTTTAGTATAATAATCGGGTATCTTCTAATCGTAGCAAGGGCGCAGTCGGGGGCGATTAATTTGTTTTTGTAGTTTAAATAAAAAAAACTGCGAAATGGAGGTGTTGGCGCGAAATCACCTCGCCTGGTTTATTCTGAATGGCCCTCTATTGACTATGCAGGAACCTGTCTATTTTTCAACGGGTAATTTCTTAATGAGTGTTCTAATTGATGATCATCTCAGCCAATCGAGTCTCTTCAACTGACCTCCGACAGAGAAGACGTCAGCAGTGTGACCTTTACTATGTTGACCTAGTTATGTACACATTTCTGCGCCCACCTTGTTGTATGTCCGTTCATGAATATTTAATAGCAATGAATTTCCTGCAGAATAAACCAGTCGGGGGTGATTTTGTGCCATTCAATGCAGCAAAATAACACTGATAAAGCTAGCAAAAAATACTGAAAGAGGGGCAAATCTCGTCTGGACAATAAAGATGTACATGTAGTGCAACTTGCCACCTTGCTCGTGGAGAATTTTTATTGAATACCTGGATACAAACAATGCAAAATCCTTTGCATAGGAATGCACTATTTTAAAACTGTTTTGCTTGAAAAATGCTTGCTAAAATTTAAGTTTCAAGGAAGCTTTACAACTACATTTATCCTCTTGTACGAATGAGATAAAATCTATACAATCATTGACAGTAAATGTATTGGAATCTTCCATGGTTGTCTTGTTAAAACAGGGAAACGGAGACAACAACCACTGTTCTGAATACACCAAAACGCCTACCTACCTTCATTCATTCATTCACAAGTATTATTATGGTAAATACTGATAGATACAGGGTCAGTGTGGTGGCAACTAAGGTGAAATAAACGCCCTACCCTATAAACTGACCAGCCAACTGAACACCCCATGAAAGTTTGTGATTGAGTCTGGTGTGTTGTATTTTCACAGGTCATTTGCCCACCCACTGTCCTATACAAAAGTGCTATTTGCTGTTGATTAAAATCTGAATTTTTTAATTTTAAAGACAATTGTCTTGCATTACAAGCACCAGTCAACTTTGGTATTCAATTGTGACATTTATCTTTGGCCTGTGATTGCTACCCACAATGTATTCTGAGGACATGTATTAAAACAATTGTCCTGGTTATATCTTTAAATTGATGAAGCAATTATCCTGCCAGGCACGTGGGAGTAATTTTATTTAACCCCTCTATAAATTGCCTTTTACCTAAATTCGACGTGATCTGGTATTGCAAAACATACTTTTGAAAAATAAATGCACGATTCCATAATTTTTGGAAGGAGGAAATGATTCATATTGATAGTTTACAGCAATATTCAACAAGCACTCAATATTCCAAGTCGATTTAAATCTTGTTTCGCAAAATAGCACAAAACATAAATTGCTGTTAATCCAATCAATTTTATTCATCTTTACTCAAATGCCTTGTACTTTAAGCGAATTGCATGTACAGCGCCACCGTTAATACTTGCTGGAAAACCATTATGGCAGTTGCTGAGCTCTGCTTGCCAGCTGTAATGAGAAAAACAAAAGCAGTTAGTAGAATGAACTGTAGGTGGTGTTTACTCAATGTTGCAGGTATAATTTTGTTGATCTATTGTTGGAGTTTACTAAAAACTCAAAAAAAAATTGGGTATCTGATTGGCCTCATTTATTATGTACCGGGGGGGGGGGGGGTGTAATCAAGATTATCAAGTCAATATAAACTAGAGGGAACAATATTGTCATAACAATACCTGCTCCTATATCCATTTGATCTTCATCAATAAAGCCTGTTGTTGACAACGCACTTCTCTGCGATTCTGATAACTCTGATTGCTGTGCATCAGTAATGGCTCCCACTTGATCCTCGTCAAAAATCAACAGCTGTGCCGAACTGAAACCCAGCTGTAATACAAGAGGAAAATATTAGAAACTCTTCTATTTTGAATGACATTTCCTCCAAAAATTTTGCATATTCTAATTTATGAATGCATTTTTTATTCCTTGCAACAGATGTCGATCAAAAATTAACCCAATTCCTCTATTTAGATTAGACTAGAATACAATGGCATACTAATTTGCATCGTTCCAAATTTATGCAATTGAATACTACTATGCGTGATCAGAATATGAGGTTACTGTATTACAAGGATATCGCAGCAGAGGTTAATGCAACTACGTACTGTATGAGTGCATACTTTGCGGTATCCTCGTAATAACCTTATTATACATCTTTTTCTACCAAAGGATATGGGAATGCCAAAATCCAAAACGTTTAGAACAGATTTAGCAAACTTCTTTGTGTGGGATCTGGTCAAACCCTGGGGCTGCCCCCAAACGCAGCCATGTTTGTTTTTATTATTAAAGGACACTGGTGCACCTAATCGTTCCATATTTGGAATTCAAATTTCCTATTATAGGATGCAAATGCCCAGTGCAATACCACATAATTACGACACGCTATAACTGGCGTAACGTTGACAAATGTATGATAATATTTATGATGAAATAAAAATGGAAAATAAAACCCAAAATACTCATTATCACTATGATTTAACCAGGTTGATGTAATTCTATGTTCACCGTCTATATTGCATTACCAATCAAAACACAAATAAAACCAGTGTACATTCATGTTGGTACTACTTACTGCAAATGTTTCTTCCGGGATGAGAGCAATGGCCTCTGCTGCAATGGCAGCTATGGATGCATTACTAAGACTACTTAATTCTGTTGTAGTGAAACCAGCTACAATAAGAAATGAACAGTATGTAATCTGTGTATATTTCAACATCTAAAATAACATACTTCAGCAAACAAACCAGTATTTAAGTAGATCAAGGAATGCCCACATTTGTGCGTTACAAATAAAATACCAGAATGTATGAAATGGTGATGATATTCTCTACTTCACAGAGCATGACAAATAATTCAGTCTTAAAATCGCTGATCTGCTAGTCAATATAGATCAAAATACGGATTCCACAGAGAAAGCAATTAGCCATTATACTAATTTCAGCAAAAGTCGTATGTTATTTTGAATACAGAATCTTTGAGAGTCAGACATCATGGAACAGAGCTAAGAAAAAAAAGGCTACTTACCAACAACAAATCCAATTTCACTGAAGATTTCTGGCTGCCAGTCATCTAAATCCCCAAAGGCCTGGAATGCTAGACCTTTAAAAGCTGCCCATTGTTCTGTACTACAGCTGAGACTTCCAACAACAGAAGACACTTCACTGTGTGCAAACATTAAACATAATATTAGCAGGGAAACTTACCTGGAAAGTTGTAACAGAATATAAATCTGAAGAAAATGACAGTCATACTTTCAATATGGCTCAATATAGGTTATAGGGGGTTATTACTCACCCATAGGCTTCAGCACTTAATGTTGATATATCGTCTACTGAAAAGCCGCACAGGAAGTTTGACAATGAAATAAAATCTTGACCAGTAAGCGCAGATGTGCTGCCACCGTTCAATGCCACATAACGAGCAGCAGCGGCTTCCAACTGAAAATGAAATATATGCCTTTAATTACGAGACTGTAGGTAGTGTTAGAGAGTTCATGTGGGTGGACAGTTGCCTCCCTACATTCCAGATAGTTTTGAAAGAAAAAGACTGTAGTACAGGAAAAAAATAAATATATGTTCCCCTTCAACACTTGCCCAATTTACAATGAAACTGCTTCACAGCCACCTGTTGAACAAAACTCACCTGTTGACTCGTCCATCCGCTGTATTGTGCAATAGCATAGACAGCATCATTATCAGTAAGGTTTAGTTGACTAATTTCATCAGCAGTAAATCTAGTAGCGACTACACCTAGCTGTTGAATCTCAGTACTTGTCATGTCGCCAGCTTCTCCCCATGTCTGTAGTAGAACATTACGTTAATAGATTAATCATAGTCAGTAGAATTTTTACTACAGTAACGTTATCGTTGAAAACCATATTTAGTGTGTTTTGATGTTGATAATTTCTAAATATTTATTGATCTATGTGATTTGTTCCAATATAATGAGTAATTCAGAGTTTATAGATAATTATTCCGCTCCAGTTTGTATAAAAATCAATCAAAAACATTCTATCCTTCCTTTCTGGCTAATATTCCATTATTAATTTAGGATGCAGTCACTGATTGCTTGACCTCTGTCTGTGTGGAAAACACTGTAATTTTCCTTTTCCCTTTTAAAAGTTAAACAGTACTTGTGTCTAGTTTTGTCTAGTTTTAGTCCATCTGTTTACTATGCTAACTCACTCAAACCTTTTAAGTCAATTTTTATCACTTTTTGTCAAATAAATCAAAAATGTTGATTAGGATCTAGAGCAAATAGGGAAATTATGTCCACTTAGTTCCAAATTAGCAACGGAATTGGAGAAAATAATTTCAGCAGGGAAACTTATAATAGCAGCATATGTTATTTTATGAATAATCACAAATTATAGGTAGATTTCAAAGATTGGAAACTTTGTATACACACTTGAATTTTATTCAATACTCAGCTGAGAGCTTCTCAAAATAAAATTCAAATGTAGCAAATGACATCAGCACTGAGAACTGATCATCAGAACATGTGACAGAATGTTTTGTTTATTTTTAAGTTCATGAACTTGGCAGGAAAACAATGAGTCCTATTGTTATTCAGAATTTTCATGTGGATTTAATTTAGCAAATTGTACTTATTAATAAAATTATCAAAATACAATATCCAATGACTCTCATAGTACAAACATTACCTCTATAGCTTTGTCCAATAGAGCATCTAACTGATCATCATCAAAGCTTTCAATCAGACCTAATGTTTCAGCACAGTTCTCAAACTCTGCTGCAGTGATGGCTGAGAGTTCATCAGGTGTCCAGGCAACGTTGCCTTCTCCCAGTACTTCAATTTCTTCACATGTTGGAGAGTAAGTTTCTGTAAAAGGAATGTAAGTATTAAATGTAAGTTTTTTTTTTACAAGAAAGAAATTGGTTGAATGTTGGCTATTAAAAATACCAAATGACACAATGGAAAAAAAACACAGTCTGCATCTGTGCATTTTGTTCTATTTTGCATGAATTGTTTAGTATGCACTACTGTAAAATACTTTATTTTTATTTGGAATTCACTGAGATGATTCAGTGAAAAATAAAATCTAGTAAATATATATTTTTTCCTATATTTCACATTCAAATAAGTTCCCTACAAAACATACAAAAAGTATATCTTGTTTGGTATAACACTGTATGGAACAAGGTAAATATTTATAGATAACATTCATATTCCCATAGGTACTGGATTTCCAGGCCACCAAATGGAGGATAGTTATTTAAGTCAGTTTTAAGCTAAGATACATGTGATCATCACTAGTAATCAGGGAATTAAAAACACTGTCAATTGCAGTATGAATGTAAGATTAAATACCTCTTCGCCATCGCTGTGCTTCTACACTGACAGCACCAAATACTAAAGCATTTTTGGCAGAGATTGCGACATTAATAAATCCATCTTCCAAGACTCTGGTATCTTTGTTGTTCATATCCACATCTTTTTCACACTCCTCCTTAGTTTCCAAGTATGTTTTAAATCCTCCCATTACTTCCTCAGCAACAACCGAGAATTCACCCTGGAAATGATTGGGTAAAGTTTACTATTACAGTGAAAGTTTAGCTCATGTTAGTTTACTATCACAGTGCCAGTCTGACTCATGTCCATTTACTATCACAGTACCAGTCTGGCTCATGTCAGTTTATTATCACAGTGCCTGTCTGGCTCATGTTCATTTACTATCACAGTACCAGTCTGGCTCATGTCAGTTTATTATCACAGTACCAGTATAGCTCATGTTAGTTTACTATCATAGTGCCAGTCTGGCTCATGTCAGTTTACTATCAATGTATCAGTCTGGCTCATGTCAGTTTATTATCACAGTGCTTGTTTGGCTTATGTTAGTTTACTATCATAGTCCTAGTCTGGCTTATGTCAGTTTACTATCAATGTATCTGTCCGGCTCATGTCAGTTTATTATCACAGTACCAGTCTGGCTCATGTCAGTTTATTATCACAGTGCCAGTATAGCTCATGTTAGTTTACTATCATAGTGCCAGTCTGGCTCATGTCAGTTTACTATCAATGTATCAGTCTGGCTCATGTCAGTTTATTATCACAGTACCAGTCTGGCTCATGTTAGTTTATTATCACAGTGCCAGTCTGGCTCATGTCAGTTTATTATCACTGTGCCTGTCTGGCTCATGTTAGTTTACTATCATAGTGCCAGTCTGGCTCATGTCAGTTTACTATCAATGTACCAGTCCGGTTCACATCAGTCATTGCGATATACTATATATATTGCAATGTCTTATACTGTTGACTTACCTCTTGGTATTTTTTGGATATCAGAATCTTTTATCATCATTAAAAGATTGCCTACATTAGATATTATATCACTACTCCACGTATCTGGTGAACTGTAAAATGAAAAAAAAAAAAAACAGTTATATACTTGCCTTATTGTGAATTAATATATTGTGGCAAATGAAAGAGAAGGAAACTTGCTTAGTATGTTCACAGATTCTTAGCAAAACAAAAAAACTTGTTACCTATTGCAATTATTGCACATTGTCTCTGAGTACTGTAAAATGACTAATTTTCACTGGGTTCAAATTTCGCTGATTTATCATTTCAGGCATATTCAGTGGGTTTTAAATTCACGGTTTTATCATTTAGATAATGTGTTATATGCTCAATTTTACATAATCACTGGGTTTTAATTTTCCAGTCAGCGAAATGAGCAAAATTAAAACTCAATGAATAACTAACTCTTTTACAGTACATCATATGGAACTGAACATAAAAAAAAAAGCCTGAGTTGTAGATCACTGCCTCAAAATTAATACATGACAATGTATAGAGCGAGTTACAATCTTACCCAAAATCAGTTATGATACGTTTTCCAATCACTTTTCTCTGTTTCATTGACAAGCAACAGTGTTGGAAATCATACAGTGCATTACTGAATACATCAGTGGACAATCTCTCCAAGGCATCAGCATCAACATCACAAATCAATTTACCCAACACATCTAGATCTTCACTATCAATTACTGAACCAGCTCTGTCCTTCTCCTGAAAACACATTAATCATGATTATTGACTTTGCCAGATCTTGTTATGGTTTGTAGCAGCCTTAAGACAATTATTGTACAGAGATCAATTTTTGTGAAATAAGATTGTCGGTTTTGTTTGATTTCTATACTTCTGAACTATACAGAAATTTCTCAGACAATCTGTAATGTACTTATCAGGAAATAGAGCAATATACCCAATAAAAATTCTTTTGAAAACATACAGATACAGACACAAAATAGACTTTCACTCAACTTACCCGCATTTTTAAAATATCATTTGCAATTCGTTCTTGTTTATCTCTGTTCATGTTGGTTACGTCCACTTGACCTATAGCGGTGTAAACGTGTTGACGTTCTTGTGAACCTATATTTGTTAACTCATCAGCTCTATAACAGCAATTGAAATATTAATTTAATATAACTTCATTATCTACTCAAAAGTAACGAAAAATTGAGTAATTCATTTCTGATCAAAAATGTTTGAATACTAACAAAAAATTGAGAACAATGGTTAGTATATGTAGGCGATCAGTCTAAAATTGCCATGACAACCAAAACCAGTTCTTTACATTAACTCAACTGTTTGGTCACTGGTAGCATAGTGGTTGTCGCATCAGACTCATGATCGGTAGACCCAAGTT